CAGAGAAATTTATTAAGTGGCCGATAAGCATCTAGGGGCCAAACAAGCGAACCGACTTGACCATTGATTGATATGGCAGATATATTAAAATGTATATGTGTGTATCTATATACATTGCTCAGATACAGGCGATGGGTTATGGGCTTTTAATAGCAACTATGGGCTTACATGTCCGCGGTTCGGGTCATTGAGTTTGCCTGGTTTTTGCCGGGCCTAATAATAGAGGTTAACTAAGCTAATGAAAATGGCTGTGGCAGCTGCGGCTTTAAAAGTTTAAATACTAAATATGAACGCAGTTAAGTGGGAAATTTTATTCCCTTTTTGGCTGGGGAAAAAGGAAACGACTCAAGTTTTTATGACCCAGCAACGACGATGATGATTGCTTATCTGTGATTTTCTCCTCAACCAAAATATCAATGATGATTGCGTCATAAATTCGGGGATTTAAATTTGTTAGTCAATATTGCTTTAATTTTTAGGCGTGTATTCCCCTGGCTTAACTAATTCTTCAAATGATTATACCTTTAATTAAATATTAAATTATTATTATTATTATTTTATGTTGGACATATTTAATTTGTTAATCTTACTTTATCTTGGTCTTGACTTGCTTGCATTCTATTTAATTTCACTATTAGGAACTTCAAATGATTATACCTTAAATTAAATATTGAATTCCTGCTTGGAACTCTAAAGGCTTATTCCCCTAAACTAAACACACCCCTGTTCATTTTATAAATTAATCATTATCTTTTGCTTTAATTCCCTTCACTTTCTATTAAATTGTGTTTCGTTTTCTACGGACCTTGACTGCAGCCACAAACAATGTGGAACAATTAATATTCCCCAACTCTCATGGAATTTCTTGTATCAGCAACGATATCTGAGACCCGCATAATACCAGACTATTTCGGCTGATTTGGCTTACGGGGCAGCTGCAATTAATTAAATCACTTCACCTTGATCAGCAAATGAAGCAGTTTTGTTGAGCTGCTATCTACGCACATATCTAATTTAGTATAATGTGCATTATATTCGCTTATTTATTTTAGTTGAACATGCCGAAATACAAAACATTTGCTTGCCCATACACTGAGATAAAATACACACCTGCCCCGATTTAAAGGGCCCCTACCCCTCCCTCCCGAACTTGGCAGCCTCATTTGTGAGTCAAAGTTGAGGAAATGTTTGAGTTTAATAGGGCCGCTGGATGATTTTGATGATGATGGTGATGGGGAGGCACTGATAAGAGCTCTCGTAATGAGCAAACATTTTAGTATTGAAATTTTAATTAGCTATTGCGCAATAAAAATAAAAAACGGCCTGAAAAGGAAAACAAGAAATTATGAAAATTATGCCCGAGTTTTTTAGGTTTTATTGAAATTTATGCCCGGTGACAGTTGAACCCCCTTCATGGGGGAAATTAACCAAAAGCTTGGCCATAAAATGCATTAACTCTATATGCTGCGGACTGCATAGAATTTTTTCATATTTAACGATTGCGTTTTTTATTGTCTCAACTTTTAGGGATACTCAAAGTAGAGCCGTTGATTGCACGGACCATGCAGGTTGGCATTTTATTAATGAGATTAATCAATTTCGGTTTTCTTCATTATCGCCATGCTTGTTGGTATTCTGGGTGCCCTATTCCGCCCTTTTTCTGTTGGTTTTTTTTGGTTGGTCTCTAGTGCCGAGAGTCTGGTATCTGATGGCGTTTTTTACGATGCCTCTCGGTCTCGGATCTTAATATTTATGTGGGAGTCTTCGGCATCGAGGCGGTTCGGTTCGGAGTTTTCAGTTGACGGCTTTTTACGATCTGTCAACGCAGGCCAACGTGTAGAATATATGAGCTCAATTGTCTTTTTTACGACTGCAGCTCATTTGCTTAGCACCCCCGCGCCCCACTCCCCTCGCATTTTCCTTAACCCCTGGCGTCTGTGGCTCAGCCTGTCAACAGTTTACACAAACAGCCAGCAAAGGGAGCATTTTATGTGCACTACAAAATGTATGAAATGTACTGCTAATAGCAACCGACCGGGTCTCCGGAGTGTTGATATGTAGGCCCTCCACCATCACCATTCCATCCCCTTGCCAACAACGCAAGGTGCAAACAACTAAAAAGGTACTGAACTTAGCCCGGGTTTTACGACTCGCATTGGCAACATGCATCGGCATCTAGGGGTTAAGACTGCCACTTCGGAACCGAAAGTAAATGTTAGACAGTTTATGACCCTAGCCCCAGGAACTCTATTAGGCCACAGATTTGGGAGCACATATGGCCTTCAAAGGGTCGTAGGCCAACACGAATGTAACCTCTTGCTAAACGTTCGTTAAATATAAAAAAGGTTATGTGGTAAAAACACAGTAAACACAAAGCCCAATTTCTAAAAAAGTTGAATAGTAATAGCTTTCATAAAAAAAAAACTTTATTAAAAGTGGTAAAGAAATCTATAAACATTTTTTAAATGTTTCGAATTTGAAGAGAAATGTTCTCAAAAAAATGTAAAACCTCTATCATGCAAATTATTATTACCTCCATGTATTGCAACATTGCTCAATACTATTTTAAATCTTTTTTGCATCTGTTCAAAAAATTTGTTTACCTTCGGGATTTACACCAACGGCCAAAATGGCATTCCTCTGCTTATTGTTGCCAAACTCATGAATCACTCCCCGCAGACCACAAAAACTGCAACTGAAATGCTTCCAAAGATGCAATTTTCCCATAATTTCTTGCAATTTCCGAGGCATTGTTTTGGCTGATCGGCCGTAAAACCTCCATTCAGACCAAAACAAAAACTCCATGGGCCGTTTGCCAAAGAGCTCGGAGGCAGGGCATTCAATTTCTTTTTTTGGTAGCTAGACAATTCACACAAGAAAAGGGCAATTAAATTCCGGGAATTATCGGAACTAAACCGGCGACAAACCACAAAAGCGCAGCGGCCGAAGGAAATCGCCGCTCATAAGTATTTTGAATCAATGCAACAAAGGTCGCCAAAGAAAAAAAACGGCAGAATAAACAATGAAGCCGGCTCAAACGGAGAAGAAGGCCTAGATATTCAGGCAGCTCTACCTGCGGAGGCTGAGAATGAGTTTGAGATGCCTCATCACGGCCATTGGCCATCAGGTGGCATGACAATTAAAATTAGGTAACACGGTGAAAATTGGAAAGTAGCCGCCTCCGAGAACTTTGAACTGCCGCCGATCTGCTCCGGATCTGTTCCACCGATCCGAAGACCGCCGCCTTTGATGGCCGCCGACCAAAAGGAACCTGAGTTGTTAGCGCTGATGAAGTAATTCAGTAATTCAGTGATTCAGTTGCCTGCCATTTAGCTAAATATTTTGATTAAAGCCGGCTCTGTGGCTTTAAGCCAAGTCAGCGGCGGCCGGGAGAAAATCAATAGACTTCCGTTGCCGCCGCTTTATTTAAATGGCAAGTTCACGCCCGTTTTTCTCTCCTCCATCTCGTTTCTGTGTATTCGTCGTTGTCTGGCCTGTCCATTAAAAGCAAATTCCTCAAAACTTGGCTGTCAGCAGCAAACAATGTCAACATTGCCCGGAACATGGGTACGAGTTCGGGGTCCAAGGGATCCAAGGGTCGTCCTGGTTCCTCAGCTGCCTCTCAATCCTCCGGTCACCCTCGACGAAAGAAGGCGAAATATTCATGCGAAAATTTGTTAACTTTTTCTTGGGGCCAGGCAAACACACAAAAGGGCTAAGCTATACAATTTGGGGCCATCTATCGCTGTCGCTTCCTACTCCTTTTTTATTCATGAGCACACAAAAATAATACAAATGAAAATAATAAAAATACAAATTGAAAGGAAAACAAAACACTTTTTGTGCTTTGTGTGTCCCGGGGTTGGACTTTCTCTGTTTGGTATGTGTGCGTGTGGCAAATAAAAATAAATATATTATTTTACACGATGCCAAGACGCGCGCCAGACGCTGTACAAATCTAATTCAAATTCAGCTGAAGAAGTGGCAAAATAATGTGCGAGCTGGGCGTGCACCACTGTGGGTGGATGTGGATGTGGGTGGGGATCCTGGGTGGACTGTCGCCCCAACGCGAATCCTTTTTTGCCTCCTGCGGGCGGTCCGTGACGACCATAAAAAGGCAGGAAAAAGGCGACGCCGGCACAGGCCGCCCATTTGTTGTAGCCGCCTCCCCGGAAAGCTCGGGAAACTGCCTCCCCCTTTGGAATAACTCACTCATATATGCGATCTAACGATTGCAGACTGAAACCAATACGTGTCGCTGGGTGTAAGATACATTAACATATTTGTTTTGTCTGTGAGTCCGTTCTCCTTCCCCGCATTTCTTCCGAGCATATCCACTCTCTCTTTCGTTCACGGGGAGTCTTAAAGTGTACGAGAAGTTATGGCGACAATGGACAAATATAAAATGGTTGTAGATATGTATTGTTTTATGATCGAATATTAAAATACTCTTTTTTCATTTTTTAAATTTTTGTAACAATTTCATTTAATATTATATGTCTAATTTTTCGTTGAATATTTCTTATTTAGAAGATAAATATTATTATAGTTGCCATAGTCATTTCTAAAAATCTTACTTGTTGCAAATCTTTTTAAAAATTAAATTATTTTTTTAGGTAATTAAATTCTTTTAGTACACACAAAATATAAACGATTCATATCTAAAATCCGAAATCAAAGTCTCAGCATGTGGTACACAATACGATCTTTAATGCAATAAATCACAAATTATATACACCACTTGCTTAGTTTAGCAAGTTTTGCTCCACTCTTGTTTAGGGTATTTGCTTTTCCAATCCAATTTATTCTATATATAACGAATCGTTTAATGAATTCCATATTTCGCTTAGCCAGGGAATTTCCCCCTTTGGGAGATTCTAACAAGCTCTGGCAGCTGTCCCGCAGTTTTCTCGCCCAGCAAGAAGCCCCATCCTCCTCCTCCTTCGCCTCCCCGCTCTTTCCATCTGAGCACTCGTTCCACCCGTATCCACTTAGACAGCTCAGGCATAAAAAACATATGTTGCCTTTGGTCCTTTCACTCCTTCTGCTCCGGTGTCCTTCAAGCCACCATCCACTCCGCTTGGTTGTGCTTTTTCCAACAATTGGTTTTTAGGTGGCAGTCGAGCACATTTTAAGTGGTAATCATTTACGCTTCGCAAATAAATACCGAGTTTGTGATTTGAATTTTCCTTCCATTTCCATTTTCCTCGCTCGCTGCCAGATTCTGCTTCAGCTTCTGTTTCGGTTTGTGTTTTATTTTCATTTCGAGTCATCCTTTCTCCGTTTGTTTTTGTTTGGTTTCTCCTGGGTTTATTTCACAGCTTTTATTTTTGTGGGCCGGCCTGTCATAAAAGCAGCGACCGTAGGACATTGTGAATTTTAAAGGTTAACCCTTTTCGCTTTACTTTTATGGAAGAACCCGTTTTCGAGAGCTAAGTCCGCCGGGATTAGGTTCTTCAACTCGGCCGCACTTTAAGCAAATCCCGGTCCAAACTTATTATTGATCATCGGCTGTTAAGATCTGGAACTGGTTTTCCAATTACCCTCGGCCGGCACTCATTAACCCATTAGAGCCAGCCTATTAACTTAACCCGAAGTACTTTCGTTGGATCTAGTTTAAAAGTAAAAACTCGAAGACAAATGAAAGTTTCCATTGTTTGGGAAATGGCTTTAAGGGATCTCAGCTGGCCGAACGAGAAGTAACCAAAACTGAGCAACCGCAGATGCTGACTGATTTCCAGATCTTCGTTGGGATATTTAGCTCTGTTAATGATCTACACGCAGTTCTCGAAAGAAAGAAATATACACTGAAACAAAATGTTGATTTTTATTGGCGATATTTAAAAATATCTATAAAATTCTTTTCAGAAATGTCCTTCAAACTTTATTCCCATTCTTAGATTTTTATTTTCAAATAACCTTTTGAAACAGTTAAATTTTGTAATAATATTTTTCTTTCTGTGCAGAGTGAGGGAGACAAACCTGATCTTTGAGTAACGCGATCAGGTGCGAACAAAATTATCAGCCCATGGGCACAGCGAAGAGCCAAATGAAGGGAGAAAAGAAAAAAGCCTGTGCGGCGGAGAAGAAATCAAAACTTGCCGCGAAGTTAATTATAATTGCCTGGGCAAAAATACAAAGAGGGGGAAAAAAAGAAAAATAAATAAATAAAGGTTGCCTGGTTGACTGGAAAACGTGGGATGGACCGGGGACCAGAGGAAGGGGCGGGGCTGATCGGCGGTGGTTTTATTATTGATTCGGCGCTCGGATTTTTATTTTTGAAGTGTGCGTGCGCCGGCATCCTAAATTATTTTTCATTTGAGGCACGTCGCCGACCTAAGTATATGAAATATCATTCGATGGGCCTGTGTGAATGGGAATGCCTTTTCATAATTATATTTAATTTCAAGGTTGCGCCGTGGCGGAAGACAACAAATAATTGTCGAAGATAATCGGTGAGCTGTCGCGGCTGCTTAGCGCCTTGTCAGATGAATTGGCCGGCAGCAGTCCAAAAGATATAAATAAAAAATAAAAAAAGAACAAAGAAAAAATATAATATGATATAATATCTAGATACCAGCTGCAGAATACATCTGAGTGGGTGTAATTATGACAATTGAGACCGATTCGGCGGTCGACCGACCGATTGAATGGGAATAAGCCCAATTGCTGTTCTCGAATGTGTGAATGGAGATTGGAGAACAATCAATGGATAATGGATTTGATATTTGAGAACGCCGGCTCAATTGGGTATTGTGGAACGATGTAACGAAATGGATATTGACAAACACACAGATGCAAATCTGTTTATGCATCGAATGTAGGTTGATATCTGAGTATTGGATTTGAATGCCAATAAAAGTGTTGAGAGTGGAGCTATTAATTGCTACCGCTTTAGGCTAGTCATCGGTTGAATGTGATTTTAGTTTGGTTAGCGACAGTGGCGGATCTAGGATTTTTTTGTGGGGGGTGATATCAGGACAATATTTTTGTTGCATACTTTTTGAATACCAAAATTCCATTCATTTTTCACCCGAGTGGGGGGTGATATATCATCCTTATCACCCCCCGTGGATCCGCGCATGGTTAGCGAAGATTGTAAGCTACTTTGTGGTAAATCCAATGTAATTAAATGTAATTTAAACCTACTTGTCTTTTGCCTATCCATTTGTATTTCATGACAATTATGACTAACATTTAAAACTTATTTGTAGAATCATTATAATCATTGTTTATGCCAGGCAACAAATTTACTACAAAGAGGCAAGAAAATCTAAATACGCCAAAGTTTAAAATGTGACCCAATTCTTTCAATGGCCTTAGGTATTTTAATTCTTGCAACTGTATGAACGTAATTTTATTCTGATTTTCAAAGCCAAACGAAGAGTGAGTTGCATCTGCTAGATAACCTAAGTCGATGCACCTATAACTCAGCTGTTCGAGTGTGGGAAAGCCACAAATCAATGCCCAATAAAAATGCAGGCAAACCAGGTCAATGGGTCTGGTGGTCTGTGTAGGAAGTTCTCAAATTAAGACGTACCATTCGAGGAAACGACTTCCCCACTTGGGCAATAAAACACAGTCTGCGGTGTGAATTGAGCAGAGTGCTTTTCCAGCCGCCGAAGCAATTTTACAATAATAGAGGAAACATTTCGCCCGACAACTGTGTTTGCCTGACATATCAATTTCTCGAGCCGTGTAAACATATCAAATCGATCGCACAACTTGTCATGCCCAAATAGATCGAATGGAGCCGGGAACTGGAACTGAGACCAATCTCTGGATGTCGGACACTAAATGGAATTGTAAACACACCAAACATAACTGTGACTCTGGGCCCTCGACTGTGACGTATTGTGTTCAATGGAAATTAACACGAAATCGAATAAAACAGCAAACAAACTCAGAGAACGGACCAAAAAATATTCGTAGCAGCTCAATTTGATTTTCGAGTTGTTGTTGGGCTTTCAACGCCTGCGCAAAAGTCAAGCGCTACAAGCGTCATAAATTGAACTACAACATGCCGAACCACAATACCAGAAAATGAAAATCAACAACACGAACACTTTTGTCGTGCATTTTGCGCCACACCCAGCAAACAATTTAGTCAATATACACAAAGCTATAGATACACTCATAAAAATAATTTTCTATATTTTAGAAAATCGCCCTAAAAAATTTTTCGCCTTTGAACTGAGAAAAATTTTCTATTTTTACGACAAATTTGCCATAAATTTAAGGCAGGTGACCATAAAAAAATATTTTTAGGGTTAATTTTTCTATTTTTCTAATATTTAGGGCGATTTTTTTCGATTTGCTTCGTTTTGACCTTTTCTAAATCCAACGGCGAATTGCCCTATTTGTTTTTCTAAAATTTTTCTAAATACAAGGGCGATTCGCCTTAAAAATCACTCCAAAAGTGTGAAATTCGGTAGCCCAGCGGTCTAACCACTTGCGCTTTCAACTTTGCTATATGAGGACTAAGGTCGTGGGGTTGTGGGTTCGAACCCTGTGTGATTCAACTTGATTTTTATGTTTTTTTTTTTTTGTAAACATTATAATACTAAGGACATTTTTTCGTCCGAATTTTAAATTAAAGTAATCTTTAAACCTTAAAAACGTATGGGAGTTCTGAGTTAAAAGCATACTTTGTGTTTGCGGGCAAGAAAACGGGACTAATTGTCACAGTCGTCAGGAAAAAAAAATATACGGTTTAGTTGCCTTTAGTCATATTATAACGTAGACCTCAAGAAAATAAGATGTGTGCAGAGTTTGTTCGTCGTCTTGCGCGATGGGTCTGTGGTGCAGCGGTAGGACGTTAGACTCTAAGCCGAGAGGTCGTGGGTTCGATTCTCGCAATGACCAAAAAAAGTAAGTTGTTTTTTCTCCTCATATTTATTTCCCTAATTCGTTTACAAACATGATTTTTCAGTTCTACCGGCTGTGCTGTATAGATCGGGCCCCCCTCTTAACGCGGCTCCCATATAAGCTACACACCAATACAATAATATGAAACGGTGTCCTCCGCCGGTGTTGTTTAATTAAAGCAGTCCCAGTTCCCAGAATATAGACGATTAAAAAAAAAACATGCTTCCCAAATTCAGTTAAGCATGCTCAAACAAGATTTTTTTAATTTGTCTAATTTTTAGGGCATTCGCCTATAAAAACAGAAAATTCGCCCTTAATTTTAGAAAAATACACCTTAAAATTAGGGCAAATCACCCTAAAAACAGGAAAATATTTCTTATTTCAAGAAAAATCACCCTAAATGAAACCAAATTTCCATCGGTATTTTTTAGAAAATTTTTCTAAATACACGGGCGAATCGCCAGCGGATACGATTTATGGGCGATTTTCTAAATCCACGGGCGAAAAGTCAGTTTTTTAGGGCGATTTAGGGTAAAAATTTCTATGAGTGTATGCATCAACTGGCGGGGTTCGTGGACCCTAGTGTCTGTCTTTCCTCTATGCTAAACAGCCTGCAGTCGCTTTAACTTATTGAATTTCACACGCAAAATGGAGTACGATAAGCTCTGGTTCCCCGCATCAAGGTGATCTCAAAAACCCCACCTATGCAACTTTCGTGTCCCAGACCACGAGCTCTATGGGGTTAGTCATGTGACCGGTGCCTTGAGATCAGATCACTCAGAACCTCCTCCGCCGACCAAGCACACAACACAACCTTCAACGCCAACTCCAGCTGGGATCTAATGTGTTTGCCGCTGATTTCTGGCAGATACTTATATGAATGTCTTACACACGAACACTGATTGGTATTTGGCTGCAGGTTTATCTGAAATAAATATTTCTTCATTCGGAGAACAGCCGGAGATGCTAAAGCTCTAAAGCTTCTTTTTTACCTTGCGTTGTAGAATATTAGAATAAAATTAGAATTTAGATTATTAAACAAGAGAGAACGCTATAGTCGGGTTGTTGTCCCGACTATCTAATACCCGTCACTCAGCTAAAGGGAGTGCGAACGCTGTGTCGGGTTGGTGTCCCGACTAATAATCGTAACTCAGCTAAAGGTAGTGCGAGGGAGATAGATATATAATTTTTGATTGCGTATAACTTTTTAATGAATGGTCCGATTTGAAAAATGTCTTCTACATTTCGATAGGTATAAATATAAACAACAAAATTGCATTTATACTTTTTGGAAATCTTTAAAGATGTGGGCGCAGGACCCATTTTAAAATCATTAGTGGGCGATTGTGGGCGTTAGAGGGGGCGTGGCGCTCGGCTTAAATAAACTTGCGCTGCGTAGGAAGCC